CCCATGTCTGTATGTAACTCCACAAGTCCAAAATGAAACTTTCTCCACAAGTCCACCCCTATTCCTAACTTTCCTATTTCTCTATAGGACACCATCACACTTAAAGTCAACATAGTCGAAGAACCTCTGTATATTCGCAACCTAGGAGTCATTCTTGACAACTCCTCAATAAATTTACTAAGTCATGTCTGTTCTCCTTTCACAAATCTCTCAAATCTATTGCTTTCTGTCCGTTCCCACATGTACCAACCAAGGTCAGGCCCCTCTTCACCTCTTACCAGAACTACTGCAACAGATTTCTTATTGCTTTCCCTGATTTGTACCTTCTATCACCCATTCATCCAACACACAGATGCCAAATTTATTTTCCCAAAACACTGGCCCTGCTATGATATTCATCTGTTCAATAAAATTCAGTGCCTTCCTCATGCCTCTGGGATAAAAGATGAACTCCTCTGTTTGGCATTTAAAGTTCTTCATAGCCTAACTCAAACCTGAGATCACATTACTCCCCTTCACTCACTCTACCTTCCAGCCTACTCCCTGTTCCCTTTATACAATATCCCATCATCCGCTTCCATGCTTTTGCAGATTATCTTCTGTGCCTGGAATTCTCTCCCTTCTCTCTTCCACCTCTTGGAATCTCTAGTTTGAGTTGGTTGGTTGATTGTTGTCCTTCATTCATGAAGGGGACCAAAATGACATCACTATGCCAGAGTCAAGTTACAGTGTGACCAACTGTGGCTGATCAAATCAGTACAAGCTCAGAATGTTCTACCACAGGGCAAGCACAAATAGTACATGTAGTTTTAGTTAAGCCTTAGTTAAAGTGCCACTTTTACACGAAGCCTTTCTTGATGCTCACTCCAGTTGTTAGCACTTCCTCCTCACTCTTGAAATTACTTTGTATTTATTTTATATGGATTTTGTATTTACTTATCTACATAAGTGTTTCTTCCCAGTAGAATTATAAGAACAAAGTCAATTGCTGTTTTTGTCCTTGTTTACCTAATACTTAGTACAGTCCCTTGCACATTGTAGACCTTTAAAAAATACTTGTTGAATTGAATTGAATTCAGTGAATTGGACAATGTTGAACAAGGAAACATCCCTTGGAGTATACCCAGGGAAGCAGCTAGTACAGAGAAAAAACCAACCATCTTCACAAACTTCTAATCAATTGCCATATGTGTACAAGTCAGGTAAGGTAAATATCATCCTGGGAACCAACCCCTGTGAAGATAAAACCTTGCAACTGTTTCTATAGGCTCTGAAACCATAACCTCTTCAACACCCACAAATACTGAATAACCAGAAAAGAAAGCCTTTGATACCAAAATCCTTGGCCTTGTCAAAGGGTCAAAGATTTTACTAGTTGAAATGACAACAAATAAGATTGTTTATCTGTTTTGCTATTGCACCCTAAGGACTATGGAACTTTTCCATCTGACTTATATTTTAAATCTCCTACATGTGTTGTCTCCCCGTTGATGTGTATATCCCTGGTGCTAAGCACAATGTTCTGCCAAAGGTAAGTGTTTTAACAAATGCCTTTTCTTTCATCCATTCACAATAGTAATTATTACAATTATAATATTGATAGCAGACAATTATATAGAATATAGAACTTTATAAATTGTTTTTCTTGCAGCTGATGGTACAAGTGATCCTGTTCTCATTCTACAGAGGAGAAATCTGATGTCTAAAGGTAAATGAATTTTCCAAGGTCATATAGCAAATAAGAGGTAAAACAAGGATTCAACCTAGGCTGCCTGATTGTAATTCCAGCATTCTTTCCACCATACTTCTTTGTAGCCTCTCAAACTAGCCCATAAAAACTAAATAGGTTATTACTGAGGCCCATCTACCAGAGACATAGTCCATAATGTACTTTAAAGTACACCCAAACCCCTCTAGAAGGGTTTCTTCAGTATTTTAAGTTTCTGACCTTTTACTGTCACAGATACGTCTACTGACAGAGCACTAGCACTCTGCAACTTAATAAATGGTCTTCAGGAACTTCAGGAAGACAGTCTAATGATAAGCCTCTCTTAGATTAGCTAAGTTGATACTAAGACAAAAGACACAGTACAACTCCAGGACCTCACTCCAAGCCTCTCAAGGTGATCATACCTACTAGACCTTTCATTCAATTGCATAGCCTTTGAGAGAACCCCGGGTCCCCTCTACACCACTGTGAGGCACTGGAGTAGAAATTTGTGGTGTAGATCCATGAATAAATAATACATAAAATCACACTATTCAAGAGATTCATAGGTCAGCTGACCTGATGCCATTGTGTTTACAATTTAACTTGAACATTCCTACACATATTGTGAGCTCTATTTACTGGCCTTTTTCAGCTTTTACATTAACATTTAATATCTGTCACCAGTCATTGAAGTCTTATTCTCACCTTAAAACACTGAAGGTCAATCTTCTGAACAGTTTTTCCAAACTTATCTAATAGAGCTTCAGTTTCTGACCCTCTGTTTTCAGAGGCTTTTACACTAAAATACAAACTGTGTTGTGCCTTATGGAGCTGGGAAGTACAGACAGTTGTTGCTTTATGTAAATTCAACTTTACTTAAGAATTCAGAAAGAAATCTGCATTCAAAAAAAAACACCTATGTTAACTTTACTGTACAGCTCTTCTCTCTCTGTGTCTCTGTCTCTGTCTCTATTGCTGTCTCTGTCTCTGTCTCTGTCTCTCTCTCTCTCTCTCCCCCCCTCCTCCTCCTCCTGACCCTCATCCCCCCTCCCTCCACAAAAAAAAAATCTTCCAAGTGAAAGCACAAAAAAGGATTCATCACCACTGCTGCCAAGTGGGGGCTTGGCTTGAGAGAGGAGACCTTTGCTCTCCTCCACCTACCACCTGCATGTTGATCCTAGCATTCCCAGTAGAGCTATGGTACCAGGTGTCTGTCCCTTCCTTATATGTCTCCATCTTGTGCTGTCTATGTACATGTCTAGTCCCCATGTATCTTCCCCCCCACTCCACTCAGCATGTTCTTCCTCTCAGTTCCACCCAGGCCTCAACACGTCTGGCCCCAACTGGCATGATCCTCTCTCAGTTCTCTGTCCTGGGCCCCCATGTGTCTTTGCACTGTGTGTCACCTCCATATCTCCACTGGCAGGCTGTCCTCTTTTGTCTGCCTCCATTTCCTACATTCTCCAGAAGAAAAAAAAAAGATTTAGTAGAGGTCTTTGGTCTGACTGGTCCTTTTACACAGTGTGAGAACTCTCTGTACTGTTGAGAGATAGAACTATTTTGGAAGCCCAACCTAGATAAGTTTTAAAGACTCATAATCATATAGAGTTACAGATATAGACTTGAAAGGACATCTGATGGCATCTAGTTAAGATTCTTAATTTTACAGATGAAACCCTCTAATTGTACACAGTGAAAACTGAGGCCTATGTAGGTTAAGAACTTGCCCAAGGTCACATAGATATTAATCCTAAGAAGTAGGATTTGAAGCCAAGTCCTCTGACTCTAGGACCAGGGCTCCTTCTTATATACCTCAATGTCTCAAAGTTGACCCACAAAATAATTTTTATGTCATCCTAACTCATTAAAAGAATATAGCAAGATGTAGAGTTACAACCTACAGTGGTGGCAGGAGTGTGTCCAATAGTGAAATCAGGACCCTGAAAAATTAAACTATGATTTATCATTTCTTTATTTTGGGTCTCCCAAATCCCATCACAATTCAATTCAATTCAACAAATCTACTCATTGTAAGGAACTGAGCTATCCATTGGATGCAAAAAATGAGGAAAACAAAACAAATAGCCCCTACCCTCAGGAAGCTTACTTTATACTGGGCAGATGCAACATGTATACACACACACACACTCACACAAACAAACACGTGTGTGTATATGATATGTGTATATATGTGTGTATGTGCATACATACATACATACACACAAAGTAACTTCAGGAAGCAGCCAGCACTTTTCTTCTTTGGCTTTTTTTTTAAACACTCAGATTTCGTGGTGGGTCTTGGGGGGAGGAGGGCAAAGCATAAAATTGAATAAGGATCACAAAGGAGGTTTGAAAAATGCTTCGGATGCAACTGAAATCGAATTTTTTAAAATGTATTTTCTAGACTGGAACTCCCTTTCCCACTTCTGAGGAGCAATTTCAGGAGTATGTTTTGGACTGAGACTGAACTACATGATCTTAAAGTAAGCAGGGTAAAGGTGAACACCAATGGGGCATTAACAGCAGGCGTTTGCTCTAATGGTGTGTGGTGCTCAGCTCAGAATTGGGAAGTGGGGTTTTTTTTCAGGGCCGTGGAGAGAAACCCAGAGTTTAAAAAATAGGATTTGGTGAAAAGCGAAGGAGTGAGGCACTTCCTTTGTAGGAAAAACGGAGAATGGCTTCGGAAGGCTAGAATGTATTTTGCCCGACTAACGGGAAGCTCTTCATAGCACATCCAAAACATATGTAAAATATACATTTTAAATACCTTGAATTTCATACATTGTCACTTGGAAGTCAGGCTGAGGGTTTAGGCAAAGTAAACAGAAGGCCTAATCCCATCTGCAGGTCACTCTGGCTAGGCTTCTAGTCCCTTTAAAATGAAACCCCACCAATACTGGCAAAAGCGTAGAAAATGAAAGACAATGGCGTCCTTAATCACCTGGGCCGCCTTCAGGAAAGGTGGAAGGAGCAGCTCCCCCGGGGGTCGGGGGATGTTGGGGTGAAAGGAAAGCATAGTTTACACTATGTTCTGTGTCTGCCGGGACTCCTCCGCCCCAGCTAGGATCCTCTGGGGTTTTAGCGGCGGCGACGGCAGCCGAGTGCGCAAGCACAAGACGAGCCTAGCTCCGAGATGTCAATCAAACTCTCTGTCTGAGGCTGAAGAGGCTCAGAGAGGCGGGAGCGAGAGCGGCGGCGGCGGAGGAGGAGGTAGCGGCGGCGGCAGCGGCGATGGGACCCCAGCGAGAGATTTGCGGCTAGCTTGCTAGCTGCACTTGCTCTGCGGGTCGGGGGATCTGAGGGGACAGGTAAAACAATGCGGAACACAGGGGCGGCTGCTTTTAATTACCATAATCTTTCTCTCCAATTTTCCCTCTCTTCGGCTCCCCCTTTTCCCTCCCCCATCAGACACACATACACAAACACAGACTGTATCATATATACGCATAAAAATACCTCTTACAAGCACACAAACTAGAGGCAGACATCCCTAGGCTTTGACAGAATTGCGTTGATTGGAGATGGGCTGTATTATGTAAGAATTGGGGGGGGGGAGTAGCGAACCGCTGAAAACTTGCGAGCTTCATTTCTATGAGAGAAGGAAAGTTGGATGTTGGGTGAGGGGAAAATGTGAATTGGGGTTTGCAAAATGCGCCGGATGCAACTGAAGGCGAATTTTTAAAAATTGTATTTTCTAGACTGAATAAAATCCCCCTGGCACTCCCTTTCCCACCTCCGAGGGGCTACGTAAAGGGCATTTTTCTGATTGAGACCAAAGTACGTGACCTCAAAGTAAGCAGGGTAGAGGTGGGCATCAATGGGGCATTAACAGCTGGTGTTTGCTCTAATGGTGTGTAGTGCTCAGCTAAGTACTGGGAAGTGTTTTTCAGCACCATGGAGAGAGCTCCAGGTTTTAAAGAGCAAGAAAGGGTACGTAGCTAAGGCGCTTCCTCTGTCGAGAAAGAGAGAAAAGGCAAAAGAGTTGGGGATAGGAATTTTTTTAAAAAGGAAGAAATGAAAAGAGGAGGGTAGAAAAAAGGAAAGGAGAGACAGAGGCATATAATGGCTTGTGTTTGACTTGTATTCTCTTCCTTAATCAGATTACCCTGGCAGGGTCCTATTATTGCTCTCTTCAACTCTCTTTAAGCCTCCACTCCTTTACTACAACACCCCACAAAAGGATTGGGGCAGAGGACCATGAAGGCGATATAACTATGATGAAGCTTGACCCTTTGAGTACTATGACCAACAATCAGGCTCACCCACCACAAATCTTTGAGGCCTTCCAGAAAATGGACGACTTATCAGTTCATCAGCAAGGAATCTCAGCAATATCTTGAAAATATGAAAACTATGGTTACTTTATTTTACATGATTTCAGTAATATTTTATGTAGCTGTGGATGGTTATTAAATTAAATCTTTCATAAAAATCTGCCTTTCTCAAGCAGATAGGGAGTAAAAATTAATAAAATTAGAAAAATAATAAAGAAGGAAAGATGTTAATCTAAGTTCATTTTGAAGATGTAAGACAGTACTATGGGTTTAAACTTCGGTTCTCCTGCTAAAGAAACTGTCCAAACAGACTTAAGTTGAAAATATATGGCAGGATATTTGAAAATGCAATAATTATCAGGCACATTCCTCTCACACTACAGTGAGCCACTAAGCAGATTAAACAGACAACTGATGAAATAAGGAAGTTTTATATGTAAAATTATAAATGAGAAATGGTTTAGTTTAGTCAATGTTACTCACTAGATGACATATACTAAACTATTAAGCAAAATGGAATTGGAAAAGTATAAAATATAATTTTAAACTATTTAATAAGCTTGGGCCTATTTGTCTACTCCTGAGCAAGAAATATTTTTTCAACATTTTCTCAACTACTAAAAAGTGAACTATGTGAATAATTGTTTATTGTATTTATATTTGATATGAATCAAATTCCATAAGGATTTCTTTTCCATAGGTTTGGAAAGATGAGCCCTTAGAAAGAAAAAGTTCCCAGGATAGACACCAGAAAGAGAAAGAGGACATCAAAGGTAAGAATCTAGTTTCATAATTCTCACATATTTACAAATTAATTTAATATCACATAGTCTCCATTTAAGTAACAATGAGAATGGAATATCACCTCTATGTTTTTCCTATTTTCTTCTTCCTAGTTTGGGGATAGATTTCAATATTTCATTAAAAAGATATATCCCAGAGGAGTAGGCCACTTCATTCATCAGGGTTTTTTTCCCTTTTTTTTAATTCACAAAATTGATCGCACCTCCACTGATTTAGTAGAGTGTAATGAAGCTCAGAATACAAAGCAGTAGTCTTTACCACTTCACCATGGAAACCAAAAGTTTCTCAGCTTACTCATTTATAGTAGCATATTCTAAAGTTGCAAAATTATTCCTTAGCCTGGTTTGTAGGCTCTCATCAATCAGGCTCCAATGTGCCTTTCCAGTAAGATATCACACCACTTCCCTTGTGTCCAAGTTCCAAACAAAATAAACTAATAGCTGCTCTCTAACCTTGCTCTATAATCTCCCACCTATGTGCCTTTGCACAACCTGTCTACTATGCCTGGAATGCATTAGCTCCTTATACCTCTCTAGTAAAATCTGTCTTTGCCTTCAAAGCCTGGCTCATTTGTCCCCTCCTCCATTAGCCTTCTGTCCTTCTCCCCTCAACTGACAGTTATTTCTCCCTTTCATATTTTCCTAAAACACTTTGTCTATATCTTTTCTTCTCTCACTATCTACCAAGAATTGTATGTACATTTCCTACCCCACGCATTAGGATGATCAGATTTAAAGCTTAAAAGTACCTTGAGGATCAGTAAGACTGTAAATTCCTTGAAAGGCAGCAGTCATTTTTCAACCTTTTTATCCCCAGAATGTAACATGATGCCTTTCACATAAAGGACACTGAATAAATACTTGTCCAATTAATTAATGTGTACTTACAGAAAAATTTTTTTACTCTGAAAAATGAAAATTTGAGTCAATCTTTTTCTGTCTATACAACATTCACAACAGTTAGACTGATTTTTTTTATACTGAAATGGCCAACCATTATGGAACCAACTAAGAAAAGCCTGCATTTATTGGTCAATAAATAGCTAATATCTACTATGTGCCTGGCACTGTGCTAGAGCTGGTAATATGGATAACAATAATGACAAAAAGACAGTCCCTACCTTCAAGGAGCTTACAATTTAGTGGAAAAAAGACTTTTTAAAAAGAAGCTTAAAAGCTGCAGGCAAGGGGAGGGAAAGTACTCAAAACTAGAGGAATGGTGAAGTCAGTCAGGTAAGTACCAAAGTAGTTCATCCAGGAGAGAAATAAGGAGATGTCTGAGCTGAGGTTCTCCTTAAAAAAAAAAAAAGTTTGGAGTTCATGCCCCTCCCCCTTCCAATCAAAGAGGCTGAGGGCAGTCATGAGATGGAGTACCAAGCCTGATAAGATCTTACAGGATGATGAGGTCATCTCAATTATATATCTTAATTCTTCTGCATGTGCCTACCACCTCTTGTACAGCTAGCTATAAGGGGAAAAACTTTCAACAGAGCTTTAATTTCATTAGCCTGGATTTGATTTATGGAATAAATCAAATATGATTGATGTGAGGAATGAAATGATTCTTAGCATCTAAAAGAGCAACTAAGGCATAGTATGTTTCTGGCCTTGAAACTGTCTCACAGCATACCTGTTAGGGGCAGGGCCAAGAGGCTCACCAGTAGGAGACCTTGTAGTCCAATAGGAAGAATATTGAATTTGGCACCAGAGAGCCTGGTTCTAATTCAGCTCTAATTCTTAATATCTATGTGGCCTTGGTCAAGTTAACCTCCTTAGGCCTCCATTTTTTCTTCTGTAATGTGAGGAGATTGGAGTAGAAAATCACTAAAGTTATCTCTAGTTCTAGTTCTATGATTCTATGATTCCTCAAAGAGATCATGAAAATAAAAAGGATGAGATCAATAAAATACTTTGAGCTTCATAAGAAATTATTATTCCCTAGAGATACAAAATCTTTTTTAGCAGGCTCATGTAATAGAAAGAGCACTGGGTGTGGAGTTACGAGAGGGGTTCAAGAGTTAGCTCTAACACCTACTTCCTAAGTAATGTTTAGCAAATCAAACTCAATAAACTTCAGTTTTCTATTTGTTAAGAAAAGGATAATGATACTTGAACTACCTTCCTAACAAGATTGTTTTGAGGAAAGTACTTTAAGTCCAACAGTTTTTTGTCAGACTTCATCTTCCTTGCCCTCTCTGCTGCATTTGGCACTGTTTATCACCCCCATTCTAATGGATATTCTATCCTGTCTTGCTATGTCAAAGAAACCATATTTTCTTGACTTATCTCCATTCCAACCTCTCCTTGTCTGTCCTTTTTGCTGGTTTTTCACCCTGTTCTTGCCCTCCTCAGATGGATGTTTCCCCAGGTCCTGTCCTGGGCCCTTTTTTCTGACCTCTCTACACTCTCTCCTTTGTCACTCTCATTTAGTCCTCAATTACCAGTTCTCAATTACTACCTGTGTGCAGAATCCTGAATAAGTATGTTCAGCCCTGATATCCCTTCTGCAATCTAGGACTGCCCACCTGGACATTCCACCATCACCTTAAACTCCATGTGTTCAAATCTAATTTTTCCTTGTCTTCCTCTTTCTGATTTCACTATTTTTGTAGGTAGCACCGCCATCTACCCAGTTTCCTGCATTCTAAGTCATGTTATTTTATTTGTTTTTTCACCTTTTCTCACCTCTGATATACAAGCAATCACCAGATTTTGTTGATCCCACATCTATAATATCTCTCACATCTGTCTATTCCTTCTTCCCCCCCATTCCCACTGTCACTACCCAAGTCTTCACTATTATTAGTCAGGAATATTTCAACAGTCTACCAACATGTATTCTTGTCTCCACTTTGTCCCTACTTCAATCCATTTCTCATTTGGCACCTGACTAATCTTTCTTAGGCATAAGTTGAGAAAAAAAATGTTTAAAAAAAACTTGAGTGGCCACCTATATTCTATTGTTCAAACTCCTTTGCCTGACGTTCAACGCTCTCCTTCATCTGGCACCGCATTTATGTCATGACAGTCTACACCAAACATTCTATGCTCCAGTCAAACTACACTACTATCAGATCACAGAATATTACCTGTATTTAATTCCTTCTTTACTTTTGCTCATGAAATGCTCAAATGTTCTTTTTGACACTTTTCCCTTATTGAATCATTACCCATTCCTTAAAACCCAATTCAAACCTCCCCTCCTCCACGAAAACCTCCCTGATTCATCTTATGAGCAATCCACCTTCCCCTTCAGATCTTGCGTAGCACTTTACTTCCTACCTAGCTAATGCACTTGTTATGTAATATTCACTATTATATTTACCTGCATTTGCATCTTCTTATTTGACTATGATATCCCTAAGGCAGTGACCCTTTCTTATGGAAACTTTGTGTTTTCCTCAGCAGCTAGTACAATGCTCTGAACATTGTAGACATTTAGTGTTTGTATTCAACAAATTTATATTCAATAAATCTGAAACTTAAGTGTTTTATAAACATGAGTTATTATTAGCATCATGAATTCCACGAATTATTTTTTTTAAAAAAACATCAAGCATTAAGTATATCTATCTACAAATGTAAATTTCAGATCAGCTGCAGATATATTGAGTTTTTCTTCTTTGGCACTCAAAACCACACAGTCTAAAGATTCCTTAACATTCCTGCTTAAAGGTCCTAGGTTTGAATTTTAGCTCTGCTATTTACTTCCTCAGTGACCTTGGGCAAGACCTTTCAGCCTTCTGGGCTTAAGTAACCTCTTGAAATCAATGTGCTAGACTAGATAGCCTCTAAGGTCCCTTTCATCTATGAATACTATGTTTCAGGAATTATATGAATCCAAATTACCATCTGACTTTTTCAAATATGTCTTCTTCCTAGAAACAACTCCTCAGCAGGTGATTTTTGCATGATACTTTAGGCATTTAGAAAGAAATATTAAATCTTTTATGTACCAAATGAGATCTTTTAAACAGCTTTGCTAAGATAACTAGTTGGAAGAAAATCAGCATTTGGTCAATTGACAATTTCTGAGGTCTGCACAATGTCAAACATTTTTGTTCATTGGATTATTACATATACACAACATTAAGGCAACCTGACAAGCCTATCAAACATTCACTGATTCAAACAACAGATATCTATTGGGCTTCTACCATATGCAAGACCATGTACTAGGTCATAGGACTAATTGTTAAAATGTATTGCCCAGTACATGTTATAACCTTAATTAACATCATGCAAACAGAGAGCATTTTTTAACAGTGAAAACAAGTTTGCATGTCTTAAAGACAGAGTTGTCCTTGGGGAAGCAGGGTTAGGGGGACTGGACCAATAATTTTTTTTTCTGTATTGGGAATTTTACGTATGAAAACTCCCTCCACCAATACAGAAGTGCATCTTATCTATAACTTCAAAGATTAGAGAGTTTCTTCAAGACAATGAAAGTTTAAATGATGATGATGATGATGATGATGATGATGATGATAGTATTTATATGGTTCTTTAAGGTCTGCAAAGTTCTGTGCATATGTTATCTCATTTGATTCTCATAACAACCCTGGGAGGTAGGTACTATTATCCTCATTTTACAGATGAGGTAACTAAAGCTAAAAGAGGTCAACTAACTTTCCCATGATCACATAATAGGTATATATCAGAGCAAGGACTTGAATCTTTGGAGTCCACTTAACTCCAATGTTGGCCATCTGTCTACAATGGTCACAAGATCTCTCAGCATTTTGCTATTTTTAAAAAATAAACCCATTTGCATTTTATCAATTAGTTTTACCCTGAGAATCTATGGTTTTATATTCTTTTTGTTATTTCAATCATGATATTTTTAATCAAGTTATATTTCTGAGTCTCAGGATTTCACATCTTAAACAACAGGGGTATTTAACCTGAGATTCCTGGAACACAAGCTGTGTGGTGCAGTGAATGTTTGCAATGTGTCATTGTGTTCTGCT